CCGAAATCCAGCAGTTCCTGCGAGGATTTAGGGACGCAATCGAGTCAACAGTTGTGTTAAGGGCTGGAGTTTCTAAATGGATGAGCAGAGGAAAGGAGAGAAATAATCAAGCAAAGTCTGGACACGTCTTTCATTGCTTTGAAATGGCCTTCTGACATAAATTTTGCCGTTCAAATGGTGACGTTCCTTTGCTCGACTGCATTTCTAATTAAAAGCTAAAAGGTTTCGCCTCAAGAGGCTGGCGATCTTTTGTTAAAGCTCTCCGTATCTTATGAGGTGGACCTCTGTATTCGGAATGAAGTGCCACGGAGCTCACTGGCGTTTGCTCTCAGGAAATCATCCGTAAGATTGGACTCACAGCCTGCATGCTGAATTGAGGGGCTTGTGGGTTAAACCGCAGAAGCCTCCGTGCTGCAAGGTCAGAAGACCAGCCGTCGTAAGATCGAATCCACGTGACGGAGTGAGCTCCCGTCGCTTGTCCCAGCTCCCACCAATGTAGCCATTCGAAAGCATGTAAATGCAAGTAGATAAATAGGTACCACCTTGGTAACAGCGTTCCGTGTCTAGTCAGGCTGGCCACGTGACCACGGAAACTGTTTTTGAACAAACGCTGGCTCTACGGCTTGGAGATGGGGATGAGCACTGCCCCCTAGAGTCGGACACGACTGGACTAAATGTCAAGGAGAATCTTTACTTTTTATTAGCTGTTTGTTGGTGTTCTTCATCTGTGCTTTACAACAGAGTGTTGAATCAGAGCAACCTCCTTGAAGTCTCAACATCAACAACAACAACAAAACGCATATTGGCTGGAATCCTATTACTTATTTTTGGCGGGTGTCACTCAACCGGCACAAATCTCAGTGGCGAAAAGATGAAAAGTCTATCATCTTAGAACGGCAGAGCTCGAAGGGACCCATCACATCCAGACCCCTGTCAAGGAGGCCCAGATGGGAATCAAACTCTCAACGCCTAAACCACTGAGCGATCCAGCAGTTCGATAGCTCAGTGTTAGCATAGGCATTTTCCATGATGGGCGAAATCATGTGATTCGGCACACAAATAGCAAATTATGGAAATGTGCTTCTAAAATCTGTGCTGATTGAATGACGGTCATGGCCATAATTAATAGGACTCACCCACCTCTAAACTGCTGTCTGCTATATTTCAGCACTGTGATGAAGTTTGTCTGCGAGTTAGATCTCTGGTTGCAGAGCCAGAGTTGGAGAGTTTGATTCCCCCACTGTGCCTCCTGGGAGAAGAGCCAGCCTGGGTAGCCTTGGGCCAGCTGCACAGTCACAGGGCTCCCCCTAGAGGAAGGGAAGGGTAAATCACTTCTCTGTACTCTCTTCCTCAAACGCCCTAAAAAGGTTCACCAAAAGTTTGAATCCACTTGATGGCACCCAATTATTTATTCCGAGATAGTATTTGCTGTTATTTGTTTGCTCGTGGTGTGAGCATTTAGCAGACTGCTGAGATTTCCTTTACATTCCGTTTGTTTCACCACCACCCCCCGAGCAGTGTTTATTACTAAAATTGATACAGTACAAAACTTTAATAAATAAATAACCTTGGGAAATCTTTTTGAGACGTGTGGAAGCCTCTGACTTCCAAAACGGACACACACCACACCTGAACCTCGAAGAAGAGGAGAAAGACCAAGGTGTAATTCAGAGAACCTGGCCTGAATTGAAGCCATACAAGAATACTGATGAAACGACACTTCTGACTGAAGCCAGGCTGAACCCATCCTTCGAGACAGACGGCGGATCGCCGTCTCCTCCTTCCGAAGCGCCCGCTGATACAGTTCATTATCTCATGAAACGAATTGCTCCTGTTGAACTGTGACACCGGCACGCAGGCGATTCTATGGTTGCCGTCGCCGCTAACGTTCAAGATGCAATTAGAACAGAGGGCAGACAATAGCTTCTGCCGAACATTTCTCGGGCCATTAGTTTAAAGAATTTTCTGCACAATTTATCC